ACGGGGATGGCTGTTGGGGAATGGCTGGGGGGGGGGCTGGGGGTTGGGGGACGCGGGGCAGCGGGGTTGGCGCGAGGCCGACCCTGCCCTGTGCCGCAGTGGAGTTCCCGGCGCCCAAGAGCGAGGTGGTGCAGAAGTTCCCGGTGTGCTACCTGGGCTGCGTGCCTGTCGCAAAGCCCGTGGGTGAGTGGGGGGGGCACTCGCACCCCGTGGAGCTGCTGTGGGGCAGGCGCCCCAGCCCCCCTCCTGCACGCCCCTGAGCCCCACCGCCCATCCTCAGGCATGGATGTCATCAACGCAGCGCTGGAGGCAGCGCTGGCCACCGGCAGCAAGGAGCACTGGACCCCCATCGTGGTCAATGTGGCACCCGCCACCCTCACTATCACCCACGAGCAGGTGGGTCCAGCCCCGCGGTGCCCTGTTGCCGTCCTCATCCCAGCGGCGTGGCGGTGACTCCTGATCGCGTGCCCACAGACGGAGGCAGTGCTGTGCGAGTGCCGTGTGCGGTTCCTGTCCTTCATGGGGGTGGGCCGGGACGTGCGCTCCTTCGCCTTCATCATGGCCAGTGCCCCAGGCGCCTTCCGCTGCCACATGGTCTGGTGCGAGCCCAACGCCGCGGGGCTGAGCGAGGCGCTGCAGGCCGCCTGTATGGTGAGTGTCCTTTGCCCCGGCCCCATCCCCGCAGCCCCCTCCCCGGCCCCGCTGCTGACCCCGCTCTCCCCAGCTGCGCTACCAGAAGTGCCTGGACGCCCGGCCCCAGGCCTCCAGCTCCTGCCTGCCTGCACCACCTGCCGACTCAGTGGCCCGCCGGGTGGGCTCCTCTGTCCGCAGGGGCATGCAGACCCTGCTGGGCAGCCTGAAGCCCAAGCGCCTGGGGGCCCAGACGCCGTGAACCGGGATGGGGGGGGGAGCGACCGAGACCCCTTCCCTACCTGCCGCCCCCGGGACAGGACGGGGGGGACAGGACGGATGGGGTGGCAGTGCCGGAGACGCGCAGGGCACCGGCGGGAGGGCGAGCCCACGCCGGGGGGTCAGGCATGCGTCTGTGCGAGCGTCCCCGTGCGTGAGGGGCTGCAGGGCACACGCCTGTGCCAGGGGTGCACGCCGAGTGCCATGCCCTGCTGTGACTCTGGCCCCTCCGGCCATGCCTGTGGGTCGTGGGTCCTGCCCCACATGGCGCGGCGAGCCCCCCTCGGCCCCGCAGGGATGACGGTGCCGGCATGGCAGGGGTGCAGGGCTCGCCCTGCCCCGATGCATGTGGTCTAACCTGCGGCGTGGGGCTCCCTGGGGCTGCTGGCTCCGGAGCCACCACTCCTGCTGTAATGAAGATCTGTGTTGTACTAAATAATTAATAAACCCATTCCACCAGCCCGGCCTGGCCCCTTCCCTGCGCCACCTGCCCGGAGGAGGATGAAGAGGAGCAGTGGGGCCGCCTGCTCCCCAGTGCATCCTGTGGGGCCTCGGGCAGGAGCCACTGGGTCCATCACACCTTTATTGTGCCGCGGCTGGTGGCGGCAGCCAGCGGGAGCTCGGGGACGGGCAGGGACCTGCCTCAGCCCCCACCTGTCCTGGCTGATCCTGCTGCCCTCAGCAGAGCCGTCGCTGCTGCCAGAGCGCCTGGATGTGCGGGAAGGGCAGCGCCGGGCGCAGGGGCTGGCAGAGGCCAGGGTCGGCGGAGCGGCCGGTGCGGAGGGCGCAGAGCAGTGCTGCCTTGCAGGCGGCCAGGCAGGGCTCGCGGGGCGGGTGGCCCTTGTGGAAATGGAACCAGAAGCGCTGGAAGAGGTGCTCGTCATCCTGGAAGCGGCGGATGAGCCGGTCCCAGTCAGCCGGGAAGGCGCTGGGCAGCCCGTAGGCCTCGCGGGCGCGGTAGAGGCGCTGCCAGTGCGGCTCTGCCCCCGGCGCATTGGCCTCAGTGAGGTTGAGGATGAAGGTCTCGTGGTCCAGCACGGCGTGGGAGCTGCCGGGGTAGGCGCCGTCCACCTCATACACGCGGTAGCCTGCGGTCAGGGTGGGCACGGTCACGGGCGGGCGGCGGCACCGTGGCTGGAGGGGTGGGCAGTGGTGGGGTGGGGGGTCAGGGCGCACCGGGGTTGAGGTTGATGTAGGTGGTGACGCTGGGGGCCACAAAGGCGACGGAGACAGGGCGCGTCAGCGTCTCCTCATCATAGAACATCTCAAACTCATCCACATGCGTGTGCCCAAAGAACTGAGCTGTGATGGTGCCCTCAAACCTGCACCAGGCCAGGGCATGAGGGCTGCCGGTGCCCAGAACTCTGCCCTGGCCCCGCTGTGCTGCCCCGCAGCAGGCATGGTGCAGCCAGTCCCGTCCCTGCCGTGCTGCCCAGCAGCTGGTGCGGTGCAGCCTGTCCCATGACCCGCAGCACCCCCTGCCACCCCATCATGCTGGGCTCAGCTGACACCGCTTGTCCAGGCTGTGCCAGTCAGTGCTGGCTCCTGCCTGGCCCTTGCCCTGGCTCCGGTGCAGCCCTGCCTGGCATGGGCAGCTTTGGGCTCCCGACTCCAGACACTCTGGCACAACACCGTCGTTCCCCACCCCCCCCCCCCGTCCCCTCACATGCCATCCGCTGTGGGCTGGGCAGCACGGGGGGGAGGGAGGGGGCCCACAGGGCTGACCTGCTGACGATGCGGTAGTAATTCCAGCTCCAGCTGCGCAGGCAGTGGGCCGGGGGGATGTGCCCAATGATGTGCACCTAGGAGGGAGGGGAGGACAGGGGTGGGCTGGGGGGTGCCCGAGACCCCCTATGTGCAGGGACAGCACCCCCCTACCCTGCCCTCACCTTCTCCCCTGCCTGCTCGGCAGCTGCCAGGACCCCCACCAGCCACTGCAGCTGCCCCGCGGGGTCGGTGGAGTTGATGAGGAGCCAGAAGTTGGCCTGGGAGCAGAAGTTCATGTTGAGGGAGACGAGGCGCAGCCCAGGCCAGACCTGCACCGTGTAGAAACCAGCAGCCCTGCAGGCACGGGGTGGGGGGCGGTGTGAGCGCTGCCCGCTCCCCTGCTC